TTTTTTTTGGCAGCAGATACAGAATGTTGTGTCTTACTATGCAAATTAGCTTACAGTTAATATGTCCTCCCGCGCAGTGGAGGCGTACGTGATGGGAATGCTGTTCTGTTTGGGGATCTTCTTCTCATTCTACCTCCTGACCTTGCTCTGTGTCTGTCTAGAGCGTGCACGGTAAGGTTTTGAAATGGCCTCTGCAGCAAAGTCATCATTTGCTTTGTTTATCGGCTACTTGTACAAAAGAGTTTCCAGTTGTGGAGGTCGTGTTGGAATGTTCTTCACTTAGAAAAGCCATCTCTGCATCTTTGTCTTCCACTATTGCATGAAGCTTGATTATGTTATACTCAAAACCCAGAAAAAGTAAAGCATATGCATATAATCAAAACAAACTGATTTCACACCTGTAGGAAATATCCGGCCTGCATCTTTTTTTCTGTTTTTATTGTGTCTCCCTTTTTTTCTGGCTTGTTTTCGGAGTAGAAGGAAGCACGTGCTTTAGGGTGTGCCCTTCCAAACGGACCTCAAAACTCAACAGCTTATGCAGGAGTTTTTTAAAAAGCTGCAGGTGGGCAGAAGGAATAGCTGATTAATTGAAAAGAGCTGAATAGTAAACGTCAGAAATGGCTTAACCGTTAGCTGTCATACATATATTTTTTTTGGCTGTTGAATTTCACTGAAGTGAAAGCAGAGCAGTGAATCAGCAATTATATTGTACACATCTGCAAAACCCTGTGAGGAAGATGCAACTTTTAACCAAAGTCTTCACCCAAAACAGACAGAATAGAAAAGCCAGGGTGGCAACAAAACAACCGTCTTTGCAAGTCTGCACCGCAACAAAAAGACGCAGGCAGACGGCAACTTGTAGCTGCCTGAAAATGACAGAAAGTTTTGCACTTTGGTTGGAAAAACAACAACTAATTTCCAACCTCCTGTACATCAATAAGTCCCTCTCCAGCCCACGTTTCAACCCACGAGGTCGGACGTCATATTGTCAGAATAGATCTGCACTGCAGGAATGACACTGCACTGAATACAAATTGTGTTCATTTGCATTTTTCCCCCTCTCTGTTTCTGCAGACTGAACAAGAGGAGAAATATGTTTCTGAATCCTGCCGACATGTCGCCTGCTGAGACAGGTAACCCAGCAACTAGCTCTGATGGACCGGCCCATTAGGAGCAGTGTGCACTGACCACAAACCAGCAAGCTTGTTCTGTTCTGTTAATTAAATACCAGAGTAAATGTGATCCTAAACTGGACTGATCATGCAGTCCCACAGCTGTTTGCCACTCTTTTATCTCAGAGCTGAATGTTTAAGCATGTACTGAACGTGTATCTTTCTCTCCTGCCATTCAGCCTCTCTGCTCGGGAAGAACAGCGACGGTATACAGACACAGTTACTCCCCTTGTGCACTCGCTGCCCTCTCTCAGTCTGTGTTGCTTGTCTGCAGATGCTCTGCATGCAGTAGCTTCCATACTTTACCCTACAAAGAAGAGAAAGAGACGTTTTCGGCTGCAGGGCTTCATGGACATAAACGTGGCTCTGTTCTGAGGCTTTTCTGGCTTTACAGAGATACAGATATGCACTCACATGGGTCTTTGTTAGCTTCTTTTGTCTGTGTTTGTAACAGTGTTATCCTTTTGTAGTCCTCACAGCTTTATGGCTTTGAGCTAAAGAAACACGTGAGCATATTTTCAGCAGCACTCCCATTAAAAGCAAGAAGGCGCTAAGATGAATGCAAGCGCTGCTGATGTGCTTTTTTTCGGCTGCTGGCTGCCTCCCAGTGTGTATCTGTATCTATCCACTGCAGTATTTGCTGCCACTGTTTGATTTTAAACCACTAGTTTTGAAATAATCCTCTTCACTGCATCTCATTTCTCAGCTTTCACACTTTTGGAGATTAAGAACTTTTTTTTGCCCCCAGCCAGAAAAGAATTTAAGGAATTCCCTTTTTTCACTGGATTCCTTCACGTGTTTACGTCCGCCTCACCTCCCTGTTTTCCTGACTAACACAGTGATCATTGTGCAGTGTTAGGATACTAACTAAACGTTGATCGTAGTGCCGCTTGTTTGTGCATGTGAGCATTTGGGAGCATGTATCCTTTCTTGGATTTTTGAAAGTTTGTGTCTTCACAGGAAAAACTCCAGCCTCACCAAATGAATATGGCTCATTTGGTGAGTATTTAAAAAAACATTTAGTCTTTGTGACGTCATTGTTTGATTGCCAATGAACGAAGAGTCATCTCCTCCTCAGCTGACAACGGCAGCACAATGAGTTCAGAGGCCATTACCGACAGCGCCACTTCAACTGACAACAACTATGGATACATGGGTATGAGCAAACAGAGACTCACACGTCCTTTTTTCCCTCTTTCTTGTTTTTTGGCCCACTCTAATGTCGCTCTGCAGAGCGGCTTGCACATGGATTCTTAGCAGCTCCACGCCCTCACTGGTTTTCTGTGTGTCTTTGTTCATTAGGACAGGAGCCTTTCAAACGTCGACCAATCCTCAATCACCTTCACTACCTAGCCATCCGCATCGGTGACACGCTACCATATAACTAGCCGAATCAGCACCCCAAACCAATCAGCCACCATCTCAATCAAATATCAGTGGAGTGAAGAGGCCGGGAAAGTGGCCACTTCTCTCCACTGATGGCACTCAAATGAACAGCGACGGTGATCTCATCAGCACAAAGATCATCTGACCAAAAAAAAAAAAAATCATTCTGGTCATCTATTTAATCATTTTGAAAATTGAAGATCATTTTTGAAAGGTGCGATGTGTCGGATCACCTTTTTGCATCAGCCTGCAATTCCCTTAAATCCAGTCGTCGGTCTGCCTGCTCACGTTGTGCCTCCACTAGACAGAATGACTCTCTTTTGCTCTTCCCTCCTCCAATCAGAGCGATCGTTGGAAAGTGTCGCACGGAGCAGGCAGGAGTCTTTGAGCTCCATTGAGGAGGATGACTATGACACACTGGATGACATACACTCCGACAAGAACATTGTTCGCACAAAGGTACGTGAAAATCATTTTTCCTGCCTCAGAATGGCACAGATGTGGCTCTCTGCACATCTGGCTTATTTAGAATGAAAAGATCTGTGAATGTGCAAAGTAGTCCTCACCTCTAGTACCTCGGGGTGCTAGAACAAAAACGTCCATCTGATCTGTTTGGTCACTAACAGATTGCTGGATTCATCTGTGGAGATGGTGAGCCAAACTGGAAACTGGAGGCATAACTTGTTTTTTCTTTGATAACAAACATTCCCATTTCCATTTGTGTCAAATATTTGCCAAGTTTTGCTACATCTCTGAGAGTTTAAACCCCAGCCGGGTCTTTAAAACTCGAGCAGCATCCTAAAAACTTGGTTCTGTTCATCTGGATCATCTGGATCATCTGGATCATCTGGCGTTTTTAGTGGGAGAAATGTATTGTCACTCATCCATGTGACTTCTTCGGTTTCCCCAACCTTATAAACAGTACCTATGCACAATGACTGAAACCAGCCACTGAATGAACAATGGGCTGTGAGGTCAGTTTCTTGATCATTAATATGCAATTTGTCATTCACAAATCAACAGCCACTGATCAATGGTTTATGATCAGTGGCTGTTGATCAGTTGCCATGAGTACCATTCACAGAGAGTTGGGGAATGGCTGCAATTACAGCATTGTAAGATGGTGAAAGATTCAGAGATGGTCTTTCCTTTTTCACGTGAATGGCCTCTTTGACTCGGCGCTCAAAACCAGCCTTCCTCCCTGTCCAAGATGTGTCCTCATCATTGTAGGAGTGTTCACTGGCCTGTAGGCGTAAATAGACTGCAGAGTCTGTGTTGTGCCATCTGCTTCGCCAGAGGTTGTTTGGTTTCCCCGATGTATAAATCACAGCAATCCTCCTGGCACTTAACAGCGTATGCTACATTACTCCGTTTGTCCCGAGGGACCCGCTCCTTGGTGTGGACCAACTTTTGGCGCAGTGTGTTTTGGGGTTTGAAAGCTACAGAGATGTGGTGTTTATAGTAAATGCGTCTCAACTGTTCCAATACTCTTGACACGTACGGATCCTTAAGGGTTTTCACTTAAGCAGCAGTTGTCCTTCTCTCCTGGATCGGCTGGAGCTTTCTTTAGGTGCCTTCCCAGCTTTGACAAATGTCCAGCTGGGATAACCACATTTACTCAGGGCCTTCTTGATGTGATGTTCTTTTGCTTCCCTGGCCGCTGTGTCTGTGGGGATGGTGTTTGCGCTGTGTTGTAGCGTCCTGATGACACAGAGTTTATACTCCAGTGGATGGTTAGAGTCAAACCTTGAATACTGAGATTTGATTTTCACCCAGATGTCACCCACGTACTTGAACCAGTGACTTGGTAGTGAACCATCCTGTAATCTCTTACAAACGACCTCCACTGCTTCAGTAAAGACAGATGTAACATTGTACAAGACCATTGTTTCATCTGCCTCCATAATGACATCTCTCACCTTCTCAACAAAATCCAAGCTGTTCTGGATGTGGTGTTTAGAGCTGCCTACCAACGGGTTGAGGGTCGAAGCCAGAAACTTTGAGATGTTATAGGTGACCGAGGTGATCATACAAACAATTGGTCTTAGAGCTACCTCCTGTTTATGTGTCTTCAGTAAACCATACAGACTTGGTGTAGCTTCTCCTGGGTACAGCCTGTGGTATGAGGTCCGCTTCAGACAATCTATCACCGTCTTCCTGTAAGCACTTCCTGGGTCTCGTTTCAGGGGCTCATAAGTATTTTTCTCACTGACCAATGACAAAATTTTCTCATGATCTTTCTGGTTTAGCAAAACCATCAAGCAACATTCCCTTCCATAAATGC